TGTGGGGGGAAATTCTGGGGGCCGAGGGGTGGGGCAGGCCCTTTCACACCTCTATGAAACTCGTAAGTATTTTTACTACTTGTCTGACGCCAAAATTCTCCAAAGAAAGAATCGCATATTATCACTCAACTTGAACTATTTGAAATTCACTTATCCTCAAAGTACTCAAACTACTTGAATTATTTCCTACACCAAAATGAAAATTTTACGTGTTTGCTGAGACAAAAGGCAAAACAAACGGGGTCTCGAATTCCCGTTCACCTTCAACTGAAAATTACTGTTAACATTTCCGCTCACCTGTGCAGGAGAGAAGATTCCACACAGTTAGATATCGATTAGTGATGGAGACCAGGTACTGAGAAGAGCTGTTATGTCCAAACTTGATCCACCTTTACAGGAAACAATGCATAAAACCGTGATTTACAAAATTAGGAGGGAAAGTTGCAAAGAAACTGCGGTGATGCGTCGGTAGGGGTATAGCAAGATAATTTGGTATTATCAAATGAGTTAATAAATAAATGTAAATTTGCCAACGTAAAGAAATTATAAAGGTAACATTGTGAGCTTTAGCCCTTCTCAATTTGCTCTGACGGAGGGCTTAATCTTGAAATGTCATCTCTACAATTCTATTCGGTGGCCAAAGTAACTTACAAAAACAACTTCATCATTCAATGATACATGCACATGCGCCATCGTCAAATTGCAAGTGCAATGCAATTTGAACCATTTACGCAATATACAAATTTCATAAACATTCAAGGTTCACTCCATCATTAGTTTCAATCAAATTGTGAAGTTGTAAGAATGAGAGAAAAAAGAATTTTTGTTATTTCCTTGGGTAATGCTGTGGAGACATAAAATCAAGTCTGCCCAGCGACCAAATAGAAAATGTTTCTCTTGGCTCCTGTTTGACTCAGAGAAGTACGGACAACTGCTCTGAGCTTCGAAAGGGCCGTGTGGCATTCAAAACACCTGTGCGAGTTACACACATGTAACTGTGGATAAGATAGTAAAAACCTAACGAATGGCGCATTTCCGAATTACCTTCGGCCCCATTTTCAAAGCGAGTCCTGGTTTTCAACTTTTTAGGCGACCAGTTGTCACGTGCAAATTAAACTCATTTTCAAGAGAATAGTCGAGCACCAGGGCTCGTTTGAAAAAGAGGCCAAAGGTAATTCCGAAATGGCCCTATGTGGGAACAAGTAGTATGACGTATCTGATGTGACGTAATATGATTCTTACTTGATCTCCTCATCAGGGTAGGGTAGGGCCAGAGTCTTCCTCAGTTCATTTGTAGTTGGGGTCCATAGGGTGATAACCTACAAGTATCAAAAAGAAATGAATATAAAAATATTATTTTGCATAACGATAAAATTTAAGTAGTTTTATAACTAACATACATGTATGATTTACTGTAAAGTTGCAGTTTAAAGGGTGGCTGGCTAACACGTACATGTATGAAAAATAAGCTTTTAGGACCTAAGCTACTTTGCCACAATGATAAAAATTAAATTCAAAACTTGGTTTCTCTGCAATATAGACCTCCATCAGTGAATCAAAGAAGTGTAAAATATCATTTTCCTGGGTAATGCTTAGTAGTCAGAGGAGGGGCTACTTTTACTATTTTATTATTATTATTACTTTATTATTATTATTATTATTATTATTATTATTATTATTATCATTCTATAATTATTAGTATTTTATAGAGCACTACAAGCAAATTTACACAACCCGCATATAACATTAGCTAGTCTTGGCAAGCATTAGTAATAAATAAATACTACACATTGCAAGCTAAAGAAGCTACTCAGCAACCTTTGGAAAATGTTCTTCTAGGCACCTTTTTGACCCAGGAACTGCAATGTCACAAGTTGTAATGGGCTTCAATAGGGCCTCTAAATTTATGACTAGACAATGACTGGCCTAAAAAACCAACGTTTAAAACCCAAAAACCAAGGAAACCGAGATAAAGGCACAAAGGAATGAAGGAATGAAAGATTGTGGAAATGAGCAAAATAATTAAGTAACAAACCACGGATCAAAGAACGAATGAATGAAAGAAGGAAAGAAAAAAAGAGAAAAGGCATGAGTAAACAAACAGATGAAGGAATGATCAAACAAACATGTAATATAGGAGACAAAAATAATGACCTACTGAGAGCAAAAGGAAATGATGAATGGATGAATGATTGGAGAGGAACATAAGTTAAAACAAACAATGAATGAACAGTGAAACAAGGGTACAAGTGCACATGTATGTATGTGAACAAACGGCAAGACATTTGGGAGCCACAAACCTTATCATAAGCCACTGCTACCAGAGATCCATCCCCAGAGAAGGCTGCATCTTGGCAAGGTTTGTCACCATAGTAACCAACTGATTGACAAGACCAAGAGTATTCCTTTCCTAAAAGAGCATGATAACATGGTTACAAATCTATCCTAAATCATGTGCATACAGCATACCCTACATGGCTGCAAAAAAAAAAAAAAAAAAGCCAAAAACGGACTTGCGTTGAGACATTCTTTCAGATTTTAAGGCAAATGCACAGCATGTCTGTTCCGATACAATCTGAGGAAGTTTTGATGGTGGGGCAAGGTGGAGGAGGGAGAGAGATTTGGGAATTGAATTATTAATATTCTTTCAGTCCACTTTGAAAACAATATAAATGTGTCAGAAATCATGGTTTCAATAGCTATAATACAGTGTTTCATTGCACTAAAAGTTTAAAGCAGTTTTTTTTAAATTCCATCTGAATTTCCTGATTTCCTTCTTACATCAGTAAATTTCTTAAGGGTACACAGGGCTCGACACTAATGGTAGCCCACTAGTACTAGCCACAGACTATAAGAAATTCAGTTATGACCAGTGGTTTTCAATTTCTACTAGCCAGTTTGGCTAGTAAACAGACTGAAAGTGTCGTAACATCTAAAAACATCTAAGATGTCACTAGCCACTTGGCTAGTAAGTTGAAACGTTGGTGTCGAGCCCTGGTACAATATTGTGCAATGCATCTCAAAAGGTTGCAGTTTTCTGCCTTCAATCCTGCATATCTCTTGCAATTTTCCCCACATTAACTTCATACACCTACCTTTTATATCTCTTTCCTCAGCAAGAACCCATATCTTAAACTTTCCATCACTTCCAGCAGTCATGGCAAGAGGAGATGAGCTTTCATCTCTTTCCTTCTGTGGTTGAAACTGAACAGCTACAATCTTCTGATCATGAGGTGGATCGACACAGGTGTTTGTAACATAACTATCAAAGATGAGAAAAATAAAAAATAAAAAAAATTAGTTAATATAGAATTCAAAGATTATGGAGACAGCAGGATTGATGGTTATTGCTCTGATAACGGTTGACAAAAAGAAGCTGGATCATTGCATTGCAATCCTGTGATAGGCACTTTACCCTCAGTGTTTCCTCTCTCCACCCAAGAGTGTTAACAGCTACTAGTGAATTATCTCGGAATCCGGTTGAATTGCTAGGAATAACCTTGTGATACACATGGGGAGGTAGTGTAACTGTTTGATACTTATGCTGTTGAAACTAAGATTATTTCAGGGTGAATGGGTCCACTGGTTTGATAGTTGATTGTACAGTGGACCTAAATTTACAAAACTAGAAACCTAATGAAACTCAGGAAACAAAGATGCACTCAATATCGTAAAATACGTTGGAGTTTGTCATTGTGGTGAATACACTTTCAAAATTTATTCAGGCCAAGAGAACTTGCAGTATGCAGTTGCAAATGTAATCCACATCGAAGTGACTTCATCATGAGACAAATGATTATACTTCTTATTGATAGATGCACTTGTAAGTCACTTTTAATCAATATTCCAATAATGGTTTAATAATGATACCACTGATCCCTTTGGCTGTATTCCCAGAATTTGAGTCTCAATTCCATTGCATTTTTCTTGTCGTCTCTTCTTTCTACCTAATTTAAATGAGGTAAAAATAATTTAAAGTGCACCTAAAACCAAATTTTTTTCGCTTAACGAAATAAGCATATTTTTTGGAGTATTTCTGTGCAAAAATTTACTTATTTCCTCAAATCTTCAATTCCCTGTGGCCAGTCAAAATATGAAAAATCAGCCGCCATCTTGGCTCACGACCGAGTTTTAAGAGGAAAGGTTCTAGTGGGTATTGTGACATCAAATCGAGAACACAAAAGTCTGCATTTCACACATTTTCACTTGTTTGGGAAGGTTGTCATCCATATTGTCCAAAATATGCCAACTAGGTATGTTGTATAAGGAATATAAGAAGCGCGATACCCTCTTGCAAATTTCACACATTGCTACATCCTCCTACCACATACTTAGCCTGCATATTTTCCGACAATATTGACAACAACTTTCCCAAACAAATGAAAATGTGTGAAATGCAGACTTTCGTTTTTTCGATTTGACGTCACGTTGCCCACTAGAACCATTCCTCTTTAAACTCGGTCGTGAGCCAAGATGGCGGCCGATTTTCCGTATTTTGACTGGGCACAGAAAATTCAAGATTTAAGCAAATAAAAAAAATTTTGCACAGAAATACTCCAAAAAATACACTTATTTCGAGTTTGGGGTTTAGGTGCACTTTAACTTTTACTAACAATAATAACGAAGACCAGTTGCAGAAAGTTACAGTATATGTTTACTACGCAAACACAAAATGTGTACATGTCGATGTGTAGTTGTGAAAACTGTTTGAAGACTGTGCCGATAATTTCCCATTCTGAGTGCCTGGGAGCAAGCAGATATTTTATAAATCTATCACTGACCAAAAGAAAACATCACCTTTCCCTGTGCACATGGATCTAAAATGTACACGTATGTGTAGTCATCAACAGGGAATGCCTGCAATACAACTCTGATGGACTTAAAATTAAGGTGCAATGTCTACACTTGTCCCTCTTTTTCACAAGGGTGTGCAAGACCCAATCCACCAGTGTATCAGATCTGAAGAAGTACATGGTAGATCCCACTGTTTTCAGCATTGAATTTACTCAATCCTCATTAATTTGTTCTCAGATTAGTTACTCACTGTTGCCAACCAGCTTCCATTATCATTGAATGCCACTTGATCAATCTTGGTACAAACAACCTGCTCCTTCTTTGTCTTTACAATAATGTTCTGTCTTACAACATCAAGCTAAGAGTAAAATTTAAAATAAAACAGACAATATATCATATGGTTAAGATGCAATTTACTTTTCAGTGCAGACCTGGGAAATGTAAAATTCAATTGTTACCACAGCTGTAACATCTTTAACACCACACAAATATTACAACCAAAGGCAAAAAACATGCATTTTAAATGAACATGCACAATCTGCTATAAATAGGAATGTGAAAGTAACACATTCTTCATCAATTATTCTATCAAAATGATTTCATTTAACCCTTTTCACTCCCAAGATCTAGTTAGTAATTCTCCTCACTGACTGCCATACAGTTCTTGTAATGGAAGTTTGGAGAATTTGGTATTGGATCAACTACACTGTTATAATCCCCTAATTAATATTTTTCTTTATTCTCATCACTTGTCTGCTTGATATTGTATTGATATTGTAAGGAGAAATTCTGTCTTGGTCACTCAAGGGAGTTAAAGGTTGACAGATATGCGTAACTTACAGAAAAGGCATGATGATCACTTTGTGGAAGATAAAACTGTATAACACCAGGCTTGTTGCTAGTCACTAGGGCTTTTGAGCGAGGATCATAAACAATCCCAGCAAAAAGATTATCAACTGAAAAAAGACACAAAATTGATATATTTTACATTGTGTACAAGTTGAATACATGAATTACAGTGGTAGTTTTTTTTCCTCACAATATGGAGTACGAGCTTGTGGCAAGAGTAGGTTGGGATGACAAGAGAATGTTGTAAGAGACTTTTGCTGAATGAGTTTCCTTTCAGTTTGATAGTCCTCTGATAACATAAAAAAAGAGAACAAAAAACCTTTCCTCTTTATCTTCAGAATACTTTTAGCTTCCTGTTATAATAGCCAGGGTGCATTTTAAAAACAAGTGCTTTCCATTGGACACCATGGACAAGAAATGTGTTTTTGCATTCAGTCAATACGCTGGTATTCATGCAGTTAAAACAGAATGGCTGATATCTAAGAGAAGTTCAAGTAAAACTTACTTTGTCTTAATCCCTGAATGGTTCGCTTAATCTTCCACTCAATATTGTTCACCAATCTAATAACTGAAATTTAAAATGATAAAAATAATAAATTATACTGTGGAGTATGGAAGAGAGTTTACACTGAGTTTTACATGGACTGAGGGTGAAAATATTTGTCAAGAAGTTTGAAAAATTTTTATTTACCGTACATCAAATTCATTCCAAATATTTTGAATAATTTCACAACTTGCACAAACGCAACACAAACTAGGCTAAGTTGAACAGCCTCTGAACCTTTAACTTTTTAAATGATATTCAATAATATTTAACTCAATTTGATCAGAGATGAAACCTGCTGCCCAAAAATGTATGCAGACACCAACCTTGTCAGATAACCTACCATTTTCTCTTTGACTGACAGCTGTCAATGAGTCATCTGGACTGATAGCAAGGTGGTTTATGGGAGTGCTTAACCTGGGAAGAAAGACTTGATGATCTGTCTTGTACTGCCACAACACCAGAACACCTTCCTCTCCACCAGAAAACATGTTAGAACCTAAGACGTGTAAAACATAGTACAGTGCTTATCAAATAAGGTGTTGCAGTTATTTATGATGTCAACTTAGTTGTGTAGTAACCTGGTAGAGTAAAATTAATGCACATGTGCAAATGTATGTGTAGCTGCACTTGAAGGGAATACAACCAAACCAGAGCAAACTTTTTATCCACCGAAATAGACTCAAACTTATTTGATTGTCGGAACACATTGTAATTATGCATTGCTGCTATTCGTATTTAAATTAATGAACATGTGCAAATGTACGTGTAGCTGCACTTGAAGCTGCACTATAAGTTTTTTTTGCAACGGTGAGTAGAAAAATATTTGGAAGACTTATGTTGCAGAGAAACTCAACCATTTGTCAATGACTTCCTGTGGATATTAACACCAAGCTTTGTGTACACACATGAAATGTTTACAACTTGGTGATTGTGGTCAAAAGTTATGTAAGATAAATATTTAACATTAAACATTAGTAAAGTAAAGTCTGTTTATGAGCCTAGTGGCCCATTAGGCTGGTGCTTAACTCCAGTTTCTGTAGCATGAAGCGACTAGGAGTATTTCTACTCCCCCCTGGATGGGATGCTAGTCCATCGCAGGGTTACCCCCAGCATTAAATTACCGGTACCCATTTATACACCTGAGTGAAGAGAGGCACTGTCAGAGTAAAGTGTCTTGCCTAAGAACAACACAATGTCCCGTCCGGGGCTCGAACCCGGACCACTCGATCCAGAGTTGAGTGCACTAACCATGGGGCCACCGCGCCTCCACTACATTAAACATTAACAAAGGAATATTTAATAGTATTATACAAACTATGTAACTTCTCTTTATAAAATCCGTACATTCTGCAGAAAACAGGTAATGAGGATACTCAAACTTATCAGAGAGAAGTTGTCATTCTGATCTTACACCAAATTCTCATAATTAATTTACAAGGAAATGCACCGCAGCTAGAGGGGAGAATTAACAATTAGATCTTGAGTGTTAAAGGGTTACAGCCTCAATTTTGTTGCTTGAACCAACAGAAGAGACTGCTAAGTATGAATCAAGTGGTACTGTTGATCATGTACATGTATGTGCAGTACTACAAAGCCTGTCTAGAAAACTGNAAGTTGTCATTCTGATCTTACACCAAATTCTCATAATTAATTTACAAGGAAATGTGCAGCAGCTAGAGGGGAGAATTAACAATTAGATCTTGAGTGTTAAAGGGTTACAGCCTCAATTTTGTTGCTTGAACTAACAGAAGAGATTGCTAAGTATGAATCAAGTGGTACTGTTGATCACGTACATGTATGTGCAGTACTACAAAGCCTGTCTAGAAAACTGAAAATGTTATTTCTGATAACTTAAACTATAAATTGTGGTTTCAAGTCACTGCATAACAGTTTTAAATGAAGTTGAGCTAGGAGTCTTGCATAGCCATCAGTAGGACTTTTGAAATTGAAAGTGATTTCCCATTGACAACAGTTCTGTTCAGTCCTCACCAAAAATCACACTTCATGATCAAATGAAATTCTTTGGTTCAAACAACTTTATTGTCTGTGGGATGTATAGTGTTTTGTTTAAAGAGAAGCTTTCACTCATAACAGACAGAGGTAATTGTAGCAACAACTTACTCAGAGGTAAATTACCAATAGTTCATAAATGCAAGCAAGTACAAAAAAGATGAAAAGTAAAATTATCTTACCATCGTGAGAAAAAATCATATCAGAAACAGGATTAGGATGCCAATGAAGAACTGAAGTAGCAGGACTTACTAACTGATCCAAACCTTGCCTAATAACAGAAAGCACAGTCATGAAAGGTCTACAAAACACATTACTGCTTTATCTACACACAGACTGCAAGACACCAAAAGAATATATACACACCGTAGGGGAGCTAACATAATTATGAAGAAACTGCAAATTGTTCAGGCATTCCATCCCAGATACTTAAGCACAAACCCAGAATGCAAAACAATTTGTTGTAAGGTGAGTCACCCTGTCCTAAACTGACTTCCTACCTTAAACAATAAAACTTAACTGGGGAGAAAAATTTCACCTGTTTAAAAAAAAAAACTTACCTACCGGTAGTTAAAAAAAATTAGCTAGTTAAAAATAAAATGAGCTAGTTAAAAAAAATTAGCTAGTTAAAAATAAAATTAACTAAAAGCAAAAATGACCTGCAACATACATGTACAACCTCCATCAGCATGACTTGTTTATGTATTGCACATTTTGCAATCTGGTCATGAGGAATCCCTAGCTACTCACCATAAAATAATCTCCCCACTTCCACATCCACCAGTAGCTACACAAGCTTCTACGGGATGAAAGGTTGCACATGTAAACTGTGTGCGTTTGTATGAAAACCTGCCAAAAAAAAAAAAAAAAGAAAGGACAACTAAACAAATAACAATAGGCAGTCAAAGATAGCATGTGGCTACTGATGTAGCACTGACAGAAAAGAACTAGAGGTTGTAGAGTGATGCTGGAAGGTAGTGACACAGAAGATTTGTGTTGACATGCAAAACAGAAAATCTGTAGCATCCCACATACATGTATTTATGAGTACCATGTTCCACAAGAGAAAGATGATTGAAGAATATAGCAACTAATTAACATTCAACCAATGATTAAGTGTTAACAAGTAATGATGATAAAAAAATAATAATAATAACAATGGTAATAGTGATGATAAATTAGAGGGGCTAGCTCAAGAACCTCATTGTTCCTCTATCCTCTACACTATAGGAAATGATTTAAGTATGCCTCTCTTGATTTTGCATTTTAATTATAAATTATTTTCCTATTCCATTGCAATTCCATTTTTGTGAGACGTTGGTTTCATACAGCAAAGCATTTCGCATTTTAGGATATTCCCACATTCTGTGTTTAAGTATATTCCACCGATCCATCATTGCATCTAACAAGGTCTTCTTGTTTAACTCAAGGTATCACATTTCCCAAATTAAGCAACAATTTTAGGCATTATTCAAATTCAAATGGTAAAGCGCTTTCTCTTAGAATTGAAAATATTTTTTTATTAGTCTCCAAAATGTGTTGATCACACCTATTTAAGTATTAATTTACTCCAAGGAAAAGTTTTGTTTTCCATTTACACACCAGAGATACCACCATGAAATTATTTCAAGATGTTCCAATCCTTGTCTTTTGTTTTAAGTAAGGTTGTCCTACCAAAAGGCAAAAGTGCATGCATATCAGCCAGAATTTTTTAGCGCATATGTCTTGAAAACTGCATGAACCATTTCTACTAAGGTCAACTCACACACAGCATGGTTTTGTCAATGAATCTTTTGACAAGTACATTTACACTTCAGTGCAAAGCACATCACTTACATATTTAATTTTCCAGAGAGAAAATTCCACAAGTGTAGTTCATTCTCTTTCACAGTTGCTAATAAGTTGCCCTGAATGAAAGAAAAGGCAAGTTTATTGCATCTTCAAAAGAAATGTAAAGTGTGGGTCAATGTTTCCATGTGCAACGCAGAGGAGTGTGTCTGCTGGTGAAACCAAGAAAAGCTTTGGTAGCATGGGCCTTTTAGCTCATAAGCTGACTTTAACTAAAAAGTGACTTTGCATCTGTAGCATCCACAACTTACAATATATCTAATTGTTATTACCATATTTATTCATCTATAAGCCGAGACCCTAAACTTCGGTCTGTTTTAATCAGGAAGGTTCTTAAAACACGTAAATTGAAAATACTCGGCCGAGACCATATTCAGAGAATTCCATTCTCAAACAAACTGAAACGAACGCAAAAGTTTCCAAACAGGAAAGAGTTTCAATGCAGTATTGCCATCGAAAATGAATTCTGAGATAACCAGAGTGTTAGTCATCAGTGAGTCGCTAGAGGAAAGATCAAGAGAATCTCTTTAATGGAGAGCTCAATATCAGCAAAACACACAACAATGGGCCGTAACACTCTGAAATATCCGGAGCTGATTAAGAGATTACTTGACTGGTTTACAGAGCGGAGAAGCCAAGGTAAGTTTTCTTTTTACGTGATCGCAAATTTCAACACCGAACATGTAACGAGTTTGTTTACCATTCGTGGGAATGGGCAATTCTGATTGGTCAATTTCGAAATTTTTAAAACACTTTGAATTCCCAAGATCTATACACTCGTTCGAAACCTGCAGAATCTCTAATATTCTAGAC